AAAAAAAGTGAGGTTTGTTTTCCGTGATCTTAAGAAGATGAATGCGGGAAGGTAGGCGATTTGACAACTGCCTATCTGATCTTTGAATTCTTCGAGTAATAAGATTTATCAGATCAACTTGAAGTTAGTGATCAATAATTTGAGCTAATTAAACGAATAAAATTATTGACAATATCAACTATCTTTTAACCTTTACTTTTTAATTGTTAATTTAAATACCTTTCTAATTTATTACCCTCAATTTTCTCAAGAAAATTTTTTTTTTCTTGTAGCGTCCTTGGTCGGAATGATAGAGTTTGAGTGTTTAATTGATTAAATTTCATTAATCAATTAATCTCCTAAGCAAAAGAATCTAGAGGCAGTTAGGCAGTGATTTTCTCCTAGAAGTTATGACGGCATGCCTTAGCAAAGCAAGCAGACACGTCCTTTTGATGAGATGCAACGCAAATCCTCCTTTAAGCACATGCAATGACGCAATATATACATCAAAGTGGAGCTATGGAAACAGAGTCACCCATCTAAAACAGGTTACTCCATGTATGTTGAGTTGAGGCAAGTTGCTCGGTTTGGACACTAGGGCTTGAGCAGTAGCTCTTGGAGAGAGAGTAAGTTTGTTTTCAATTCAATTGAAGCCCTTTCATCTTAAATTTGGTTTATCTTGCATGGTAATTTCAGCTTATTTATGACTCATCGAGATCTAATCTTCTCATAATTTGATATTATCCCTTTAATTTATAAAAAGAAAATTATTTTTAATAACTACCAATATAGTTTAAGGACTTATTCATATCCCTCCTCCAAACACATGCAATAATGCAATACACATCAAAGTGGAGCTATTGAAACAGAACCACCCATTTAAAACACAGTAGCATATGCACGTTGGCCGGTTGAGTCAACTCAAAGTGCATGATGGTGCCACGGATGATGGAGCCACTTGTCAGGTCTACACAAAGACGCAAAAATGGTCAGTGGCATTGGCACTCACTTTTAATCCAAAACGATTGGGACTTCCACTTTATATAGAATAGCAATTTTAATGGATCTTTGCATCTCCTACCCGTCAAGTTTTTGGAAAAGAAAACTGTCCACGTAGTTTTTTGCTGTTAATTTAAATATATAATCTTCTTATTCTTTAGTGAGATGATTGAAAAAATAATATCTTTTGCATTGCCTAACACGATATTGGGGAATTTTGTGGTCTTTGTTCACATTTGAAATTGACCCAAACCTGAAATGATTTATGGCTAAAAACACATATTTGATAAAGACACTCATGGATATATCTTTTAATTAAATACATTGAATAATTTATTTTTATTAAAAAAACATTATTATTTTATATAAAATAAAAAAACAAACAAATCTAAAAATGTAGATATACATAGAGAATATAAGAACAGTGAAATGAAACATGTAAAGACTAATTTTAAGGAGAATTGCATAGTGGGTATGAGCAAAAAGAAATTACTAATTTTATGGAGAAAAACGCGTACCAAAGAATGGAGCATGCAAGGACTTCTTCAAAGGAAAGCAAAAAGAGTTGTTGGTTGGGTAGGTATAAGAAGAATGATGTAGCAAACACGAAAGTTCTGAGGTAATTCAAATTGGCAAGGTAGAGTCCATTCCACGGGAAGAATCAGCACCTAATAATTAAGCACACAATAAATTACGAATTGATATATTTCTAGGTTGGAAGAATCAGCTAAGTGTGCAAATGAATTT